CGACTGGTGCCGACGCGCCGAGTGGTGTGCCTGACAATGATCGTCAGTATAATGCGGGGGAAATAATAGGTCTGTCCGATAGACAGTGCTAACTATCGTGTGCGCACGCCGCAGCCATCGAAGTGAAGCCATCGTCGTCTGTGAACTCGTCGCCGCCGCCATTGTCAACGTCGACGTGAAAGTAAAAGCTGAGATCCGACGGAGACACGGTTCGGTTCGACACACCACTTTGCACTGGTGACCTTGCCGGATCTTGATTCCTTTGAACGCCGCCGTCGAGGTCGCATCTGGTCAATGGAGAACGAACTGACCTTCGTCGCACCAGAAGGCGTCTACTCCGTCACTGAGGAACACAAGCCTACCCCCTTCAACGCTCACATTGTCACCCCTGTTCTCCATCCTACACGACTCTCCACCGTCACCGTCCGCTATCCGCTCTCAAAATCGGCCGTCGCTCCCGGGATTGCACAGCTATGGGGTGGGGGCAAGGACAGGGACAACAAGAACAAGGAGAAGGATAAAGAGCATGGGAAAGAGAAGGAGGACGGGCAGAGTTTATCGAGCAGCGAGAAGCCTGGCACCGAGGAGGATGGCTCGCCTGATCTCCTGCTTTCGCCCACCCTTCAACCTCAGTCGCCATCTTTGGAGTCTCCAAAGCTATTTTCTCCTACAATGGGCATGAGCAAGAAGAAGTCTGCGTCGCGCCCGAAGCACAACATCAGGACAACGACCTCAACGTTCGTCACACGCTTGCAGAGCGTCGATAACCTCAACAAAATCCTGCAGAGTAAACAGGGAGACGTGACCTATCTCTTCTACAACGCAGGGAAAAACTTCTTCTGGACGGAGCTCGGTAAGAAGATGAAGGTGAGATTCGATGTATGCTGTTTTGCGAGTCCGTCACCGACGAGCGTTGCAGGATCCGCTCGCGCGCATAACGTTCTCTGCGTACCCGACATGCCATGATGTGAACAAGGATACCCCCAAGTCTACATGCCTGGACGTCGTCATTGGATTCAGCACCGGCGACCTTATCTGGTTCGGTGCGTCTGTTCATTGATTAATCCTCCTTCCAGTCATTGAGGGTGCATATATGCAGACCCTATCTCAGGACGCTACGTGCGTTTGAATAAACAAGTTAGTGCTTGGGTGTATAGATGTGTCCTGTATTCTCATTTTCATTGTATTAAACTCAGGGGTGCATCAGCAGCTCGCCGTGTACTGCGGTACGCTGGGTGCCAGGCTCGCCATCTGTGTTCGTCGTCTCTCACGCAGACGGGACAATTATAGTGTACGACAAAGAGCGCGAAGATGGCGCATTTACCGCCCAGAAACCATTCAAGCGCTCGACAGCACCGCCCGTCAGCCAGTCGGAAAGCAGTAGCTCGTCATTTCCATCCGACGACGCCAGCTCACGCGAGGAGTGGGACCCGCTGGAAAGTATCTTCGTCACCCCGCCCAAATGGCATCCCGTTGCTACCCATTCGAATCACAGTCGCGGAAGGTCGGATAAAGACAAGACTGCAAAGAACCCCGTGAGCCACTGGAGGGTATCGAGACGTGGTGTATTAGGTGGATGCTATATTCAGTCATGTCAAAACTCAGTACTAAAGTACTTTCCTTTAGATATTGCCTACTCGCATGACGCGCGGTTAGTGGCCGCGATATCAGAAGACGGCTGCTTGAGAATAATCGACGCCTTCCAAGAGTCGTGAGTTAACATTACATACTCCAATGTTTTACGTCCTGAAACAAGTTGGAAAGGCTGGTTGATTGTTTCGCATCATATTTTGGGTCGTTCACCTGTGTTGCATTCTCACACGATGCGAAGTTCGTTCTTGTAAGCGTGAAGGTACTGACTAAAGGAATGCGACTAATGTTTATTAAAACAGACCGGCGGGCAAGACGATCTGGTCACCATCTTCTCGATGACTGAGGGTAGAGTCATTGCACGATGTCAGGGCCACTCTTCTTTCGTCTCTGCGGTCTCTTTCGATCCTGTTAGAACAGACAAACGAACGTATCGCTTTGGTAGTGTCGGAGAGGACAACAAACTTATTCTTGTGGGTATTCAAAATGTCTAGACTTTCCTGTTAAATCGTTACGACTATTCTCCAGTGGGATTTCTCAGCTGGTGTTTTACATCGTCCGAAACTACAAGTGAGTCCTACCCAGTATCTTCTCCTGTACAACATTCAAATTTGTCTCTCCTCCTAGGCTCTGCATCAGCAGAGGTTATCAATGGCTTCCACACTTTCTCTCGCTCTCCGTCGACGAGGGGACGCCGCAGAAGGCTCGACGCTCCATCTAGCTCCGCAAGGTTTCTCAGGTGCGGAAGTATCGAGGTACCACCCTGCTCCGTCTCGAAATGAGGTTGCTGTAGTGCAACCGGTACTGGTGAGCCCATACTCTTTGTGCATTTTGAAAACGACTTGTTAATTTGTAATCAGACAAAACATGTTGAGGGAGACCTGCTCACAGCTATCGCGTTTATTCCTCCGCCTTGATGACCGCCTCGAAGGTGGGCATAACGAAGTTGTGGGTCCGGCCACTCGCTCTGCGCCCGCGTCCGATAAAAGCCAAGATGCGCCCCGCTACCAGGCGTCCGGACGAGCACTGATGTTCCTTTTCCTATCTTATTCGAACTTTTATCCTGCGTATGCTCTCTGCTTATCACCCCACTTGCTATTTTACGTCGCACTAAGTTATTTGCTTTTCCTTCCTTTTTCTGAATGTGCAAGGCAAGTGTCAGCCCCTTTTGTATTATTTTTAGGCCATGTTGGGCATGGCTACGGACAAAATATTACATGTCGATTTTGACGTATTCTCTTGGCTTTCTATGTACTGTGTACATACAGTGGGTGGAGACCGTACAAGGGGATTTCTGGAGCAATTTAGATTTGCAATTTGTTCTGCGGAACCTCAGGTACTCCTAATGATCGACGTGACATGCGTCCGTAATTTTATACTTGAAGTACTCCCTGCTTCTGCATCTACTGCGTCTCTTTTCGAATCACACCATGATTCGACAAACTCTGCGTCGAAGTACTTTAAACACTTGTCGACGACGGCGACAAGCACCCTTTCGCTGCTCGTCAGACACAACTATGACGGCCCCTCGGAAGGGCGATCGTGGTAGGCCACATATTTCCTGAAGACGCGTTCAATCAATGGGCCAACCTTCCGCCAAGTGGTTGTCGCAATGTCTGGCGGCGTGGACTCGTCTGTGACTGCACGCTTACTCGCTGAGGAGGTTCGTGCAAGTCTCTCGGGACGCATTGCGAGTTTAATGATTGTGTCATGGCACGCAGGACTACAACCTCTCGGCGGTCTTCATGCGAAACTGGGACACGCGCGACGAGGCCGGGTCGGACACGGGCTGTGAGTGGGAAAAGGACTGGGAGGACGTACAGCTCGTGTGCCGTCAGCTCGGGCTGCCTTGCGAGATGGTACGTACTGCTCCTGCCTTTCCCGTTCCATGTCTGACACTTGGCATGCTGACTGGTTTATGACAATGACTGCAGATCGACCTCTCGCGCGAGTATTGGACCCGTGTTTTCGAGCCGGCCTTACGAATGTGGGAGACTGGCGAGACACCGAACCCCGACGTGTGGTGTAATCGGTGAGGACACTCCGAATTTTGCGTCGGTTTCGGATGCGGGCTGAGCTCTTGTTAGGGAAGTGAAGTTTGGTATACTAATGGACCGAGTGGTCGCTGCGGAAGGCGCTAAATGGCTTGCTATGGGTGGGTCAGAGGCGCGTGCAAATCTGCATTTGTATCTCACCGTGAATCTGGAGTTTAGGCCATTACGCTGGTATTGAGTGGGACCACACTCTTCCAACTCCACGTCCAAAGCTCGTTCGCGCTGTTGACGACAAAAAAGACCAGACATACTATTTGTCTGGTGTAAAAGAGTCGAGTTTGCGAAAGGTCTGAGAACATTCTCAAAATCATTACAAAGAATAAGATAAGGCCCTAAGCTGAGATTGTATTCAGTCCCTCTTCCCCTTGCAGAAACTTAGGAAAACGGAAGTGCGCGAACTCGCAGCTAAATACAAGCTTCCTACCGCACAGAGGAGCGAAAGTATGGGAATCTGCTTCGTCGGTGAGAAAAGGCGCTTCGAAGATTTCCTAGGTGCGTGCTACAGCGTTACTTGTACCTCTGCACATTAGAAAACCAAACTGACTATGACTTCTTCTCTATTAGCGGAATACATTCCTCCGAAGCCCGGCCCGATAATCAACTTAGACACGAATAAGCAGGTCGGAACGCACCCAGGTCTCTGGCGCTTCACAATCGGGCAACATGCGAAGGTCCCAGGTATGCCTGAGCGGATGTTCGTCGCGAAGAAGAGCGTGATGGACAACGAGGTCTTCGTCGTTCCTGGCTCGTGAGTGGTGTTTTATTTTACTCTCCTTATTATAGTTTGCATATCGCATATACTGACCGACTTCGGTTGAATGACTAGATCACACCCTGCGCTGATGAAGACGAGTTTTGTTGTGCGCGACTTCCGGTGGATATGGGAAGACGCTGTACCCCTGGCCATTGACGCACATAGCAGCTTTCGCGCAAGGGTGCAGTTCCGGCATAGAATGAAAGACGTCCCGTGCACGGTGCAAAGGTGAACGCCTTGACTTTCCGCTGGATGCTGCTTTTCTAATCGTTTTTAAAAACTAGAAACGAGGACGGCGACATGCGTATCGACTTTGACGAGCCGCAGTATGCTCTTGCTGCTGGCCAGGTTGCGGCATTGTACGACGAGGCGGGGTGCTGGTGTTTGGGGAGCGGGCAAATATCCGAGGGGATGAGGAGGAATAAGCTAGATAATCTTTTGCTCAACCTGAGCTTGTAGATGATTGCTCACAATATATTTTCTGACTCTCGTTCCACCCAAATTAATCAATGCTTCAGTACAAAACAGAGTTAATTATGTTATGAAAATACGATTATATGCAACAAACAATTATATGCAACAAATAATATGATGTAATTCGATGCATTAAGAGGGAATCGAACCCCCGGCGGGTCGACGTACATCGATTGGCAACGACCCAGGTTACCACTACCCCATTAATGCCGGTGTAATCAATCGCGATTTCAACCATATAGGCATATCTGAGAGCACGCCATGCTGACGCGCCCTGAGCACGTGAATATTAAACCTAAATCACGTGACAGATTCGGTTTTATATCCAATTTCAGATAAGCTGTGGGTTACCTGTCGAAGCAATCTGGATCACTTGCACCTGGCTATTGAGCTGAGCGAGGCGTGAGACAAGACGGGTATTGTACGAGAGGCAGACAGGAGGGGAAGAAGAGAGATGAACACATTTTCCATAGTACATGTACGAAACTTGAGGGTGTTGTTTGGGAAGGCACCGGAGGAGAACAATCACCATTTTGAAGAGTTGCGAATGTTGAATGAAGACGGGTGGGCGTGCGTGGGCGCAGTAGTGTGGCTGTTTGCCGTTTTTGGAGTACAGTCCGCGCAGCCAACTTTCGACATGCGCGTCGCCGTGCCTCCCTCCAAAACCAAATTGAAGAAAAACAAGAGAAGGGCAACTCGATAGGTCTCTCCTGCAGATATACAACATTCCACGTCTACTTCGCCTTCGCAATGCAGCCAGAAGCAGGGCCGTCGCGCCTACCTGCTGCTACGAACATCCAGCCTCTTGACAGTCCAGGACACGCTCCTCAATCCAATCCGTCCGCAGGAACTTTCTCTAGTGGCGTCGATTTCATTGCCTTCGTAGACTCAGATGATGATCGTCCCAAGCAGCCCACGCGCGAGTGGGACCGGGGAAAGTCTGAACGGGATAAGAGGGAACGGGAGAGAGACGGCAGGAACCGCGACCGCGATGGCCAGGCGGTTAGCAAGAAGCGAAGGTGGGAGGACTCCGAGCGGGACGATGTACCTGCAGGAAAAGACTCGCGGCGAGCTAGCACGCATAACGTCAATCTCAAATCTAGGAAGGCGCCGTGGGCTGCGGACGTCGACTGGGATAGCTGTCGAAACGTCGCCCAAATGTGCGTCTCTATCTTTCTTACTCGATATTATAATGTCTCAACGGTCTCGTGTTATTACCGCGGAAAAGGCTTCATGCTGAGGTAGAGGCGTTTCTATATTATATCTCACCGTCTCCAGTTGAACACGAAGTGCGGGAGATGATTGTCCAGCTCATTTCGAGCAGCATAAAAAAGACATACCCAGATGCAAGTATCTTGCCGTTCGGGAGCTTCGAGACCAAACTCTATTTGCCCTCTGGGTACGCTTGTTTCTATACATCGTCATTCAGCTCGTCCTACTGAATATATGCACATAATCCAGTGATATCGATTTAGTTGTCCAGTCCGACTCGATTGCGTACAGCGACAGGGTATCATCGCTCCGGTCTCTTGCAAACATCGTCAGGAGAACAGGAATCACAGACAAGGTCACCGTCATCGCCAAGGCGAAGGTGCCTATCATTAAATTCGTGACCACCTATGGTGAGCAGGTTTCCTGGGTTATTCCCTCGCGTTTTCTTGACACTGCGCCCGCAGGTCGGTTTTCCGTCGACATCAGTCTAAACCAGACAAACGGCGTGCAGGCCGGAAAGATGATAAACCGCTTTCTTGATGAATTCCCTGCACTGCGCGCGCTCGTGCTAGTCATAAAGTCCTTTCTCAACCAGAGGAGCATGAACGAAGTGTACTCCGGTGGCTTGGGGAGCTACGCCATCGTCTGCCTTGCTGTCAGCTTTCTGCAGGTCAGCTCATTACTTCCTTCCCCCCTTTTTGTGCCTAGCCCCTCTGTGGGGGTGTAAACGTGGAGTCCGCCACTTACACGAACTACAAGATGCATCCCAAACTCCGGCGCGCCGAGATAGATCCCGCACGGAACCTCGGTGTGCTCGTCATGGAATTCTTCGAACTGTATGGCAAATATTTTAATTATTCGGAGACGGGCATTTCCCTCCGCCACGGGGGCTCGTACTTCAGTAAAGCGCGCCGGGGATGGATGGACTACAACAAGCGATACCTGTTGTCCATCGAGGACCCAGGGGACATTAGTGCGTCTCTTCACTCCAAGTCCAGGCTCGCAGACAATAACACTACTTAGGTAACGACATCTCAAGAGGCTCGTTCGGGATCAAGTCTGTGCGCCAAACATTCGCCGGCGCTCACGAGATCATGAAGTCCGCCGCGTACGTCCGCGCGGGCATCCTCAGCGCGCGCCAGAACGGGACCTGCCGTCGATCTGCGCCGTGGGAGGAGCGACCCGGAGGAGATGAGCGTCCTGTCGGGCATCCTGGGCGTCAAGCCAGGAGACGATTAACCATCGCCGGCTCGTGCAGGAGGTGTACGACTCGGGTGCGCTCGCGCGCCTGCTGGCGTCAACCCGAAGCGCGCCTAGGCTTCAGCCATCGAGTGCGAATGTGCGCGTGAACGGGAATGGAAATATCGCTGCCGCACCGACAACGAACGGATCGAAGCGAGCGCGCGAGGCACAGAGCGTCACCGCAGCGTGGGGCGAAGCGGACATGGTGCTCGACTCCGACGAAGAAGCCGGGCGCTTACGCGACTATCCCCCGGCGCGCGACCGTGGGCGACGTGCCGACTCGCGGCGCGTGGGGCGTGACAAGGATGGTAGCGAGAGCGAGAGCCGCTACGACATCGCAAAAGGCGCGCGCGCGCGCAAGCGGCGGCGCACGGGCCAGGCTCGGCGCGACCTACGCGCGGCCGTGTTCCTGACAGACTCAGAGCTCGACGACGAGGACGGGGAGGTCGATCAAGTTGGCGCGTCTGAGTACGCAGTACGCTCCCCGGGGCGCTGGCGCCAACGCTGTCCGCGAGCCGGGGAGCTCGGACGATAGTCTTCAGGAAATCGAGCAGGCGTACTCCGCGGCTGACAAGCGCAGAGAAATAGAGCAGGAGGAGGAGAGCTCTACGTACCTGAAGGGGAAGGGGAAAGGGAGGGGCGTAGCTTCAGGTTCTGAATCTCGCGGGGCACAAAATTTGCAGAATAGCGGTGCCCAGCGGCTTGCGTACTGGGCATCAAAGGGCCTGCGCGGGGATGGGGTCGATTCGGACTCTGTCGATAGCGTGCAGAAATCGTTGAGCAACGACCAGCGACGGGCGTATTGGGCGTCGAAGGGCCTGCGTGGAGGCGATATCCATTCTGATAGCTCGTAGCTGTAGCAATTAGTTCGTGCATGTTGTCTGTATTTAACTTATAGACTACACAGTATTACTTCCTCTTTCGTACGTAGTTGTGTGTACTGCTTATCTTACCAGGAGCTAAATCTCCTTTTCGTAATGCATTTCTGGGCTATCTTCCGAGCTGTTATGATTATTTCTACATCATAAAGGAAGGAATCTGCGAGAGCAGTGTGATTGATATGTATATCGATCGTTGATAGTGTACAGCGCTTGATTATCGAAAAGATTATGCGAGATGTAGACAACGACAATAGGAAGAAAAGAAAGTAGAAAAGAGAGAAATGCTATTGGCGGAAGGATGTAGGAAATAGCGGACGTGTGTGGATACGTGTGTGATTGTGGGGGAACGCCGAGGCGAAGAGATCGGAAATCATCCAGTGTGCGGGCGGAGAGAAAATGCACAAAATGACAAATGAGAAACGGGAACGAAAGCAAAGAAAGAAGACAAGACAGACAATTGATATTATATATGTATATGCGATGTTATGCGCCATGTCGCGAGCCGATCTCGTCATACCAGCTCGGAGAGTCGGCCACGGATGCCTGCAGTCTGTAGCTGCTCCTAGTGCCGCCGCTGTTACTGCCCTCCTTGCCGTGGGCGGCACTGTTCCCGCTGTGGCTGTCGTGGCTGCTGCGACTGCTGCTGCCGCTGCCGCTCGCACTCATATGCAGCTTGGCCCGCGAGGACAGCGAGCGCGAGAAGGCGGAGAACATCGACGACGGCGCGTGGCTGCTCTTCGGCTGCGATTCCGGAAGCGCGGGCGCCTCGCTGGGGGTCTTGCAGAGCGAGATGTGCGGGAGGAGCGGGGACTTGGACTTGGGTTTTGACTTTGATGGGTTGGACCGGAGTGAGGAGTTCTTCGATGAGGGGCTAGGGGGTGCGGGAGGCACGGGCGCATATTGCTGCTGATACTGCTGGTATCGCGGCGGTGAGGAGTGTGCCGACAGGATAGGCGATTTCGACGGCGGCGTCGGCGGGGGTGGGCTGCCTGGGCCGTCTTGGGGACCCTGTCCTTGGCCGTAGCTGTAGTCATGTCCGTGCGCGTACACGTACCCTGCGCCCGTACCGAATCTGGATCCCGAGCCGGACACGGACTCCGATAGGGATGTCGACAATGGCGGCTCAGTGGGCACCGCGGGAAATGCGTCGAATAAGTCGGGGTCGAGAGAGCCGCTCATCGAAGACGCAGAGGCAGAGGCAGTCGACAGCACCGAGAGCGGGCGCTGCTCGTCCGACGTCGATCCGCCGAGTGTTAGGGGCACATACAGCGATGGTCTGCGGTTCGACGAGGGCGGGCGCATCGATGCGGAAGAGGCTGCGGAGGCAGAGGCGGAAACGCACGCCGGAGCCGAGACCGGAGCGTCAACGGAGTCGCACGTGTGCGTCGACGCAACGTCATCTACAATAAACAGAAGAGGTAAAGCACACAGTCAGCGACGATAGTCGTGCACGCCGTCTCCCACAGCTGCTGCCGTGTCCAGCGCGTGCATGCTCAGCAGGAGAACGAGAAGCGAGGGAGAGGGTACTCACCCGGGAGCGCGAGCGTTGAGGCCGAACGTCCCGCGCGGCTAAGCATGCGCCCGAGCACGCCATGCGATGCGCGCGACATGCTCTGGACCTTTTTGCGCGCCGAGCGGCCAGGCGACGAGAGGACCGAGCCGAAAGAGCGGCGGCTTTCCGCCCCGAACTCGGACCCGGCTTCGTCGGGCTCCTCCACATCGGGCGTGCGGGTCGCGTCGAAGAAGGGCGGTGTGGCGAGGTCGAACGACGGAGAGGGCGGCGTGAGCACCGGTACAGAGTCCTCGGACGACTCCGCGGATGCCCAGCTCCAGCTTTCGCGTGAAGTGTTCTGACCGCCGTTCTGCGCTTGCGGG